ATTTAGAAAGGCATCCTCACTGCGTATCCTCTGTCATTCTCTTGAATTGGCTGGCTAATTTATTAGCAAAAACTTGAAACACCTCATCCCTAGAAATTTGACAAATCGCACATTTGCAGTGGTGCGCTGGTGTTGCACTTATTTCATCCCTTTTAAGGCAACAGATAGTTGTTAAATTTTAAAATACTACCAAAGCTGAAGCAAGAATAAACCGCTCTGCTTTTCAGATGTGTCAACTTCTCATCCTATGTATATTCAGCGATAGATCAGGTCATCCGTCAACATTCGACGGTGAGGGCGTGAGTTTAAAATTTTATTGACTGGTGTAATGTAATTCATTCAGCAGCTCAGACCTGTAAGTAGTAAAGTGGTCCATTTTTAAGTGTTTCTCGGAAGGAAAGGTCCAAGGAAGTTCCTCGTCCCTCCAGACAGAAGGGTCTTACTCTCACGAAAACTCTGTTCTGTTAACAAATGGTGGCTTATTTATTATAACGTATTTGAATGTCTGTCTCTATTGACGGTCATTAATTGTAGGTGGATCAATATGATGATCTGTTTCTCGCTTTGTATTTTTGCAGATCGACACTTCCGGAACTTGCGATATCACATGTACATTGCGCTGCTTAGTGCCATTTGCTCTGTGCTCTTGACCTTCCTTGTTATGTGTGATAAGGACGTCGGGTAGAGAATCAATGGCTACCTTAATATCATCAATGATCGGAGTAAATTGTGAAATTATTTAAGCTTTATTTTTATCTCATTCATTGCTGTCGAGCGATGGCCGATGATGTCGGATCTTTTGAAAAATGCATTTTTCTCCTAGAAGTAAAAATAAACTGAAAAATGGTGTTGTGTCAGTGCCAGTGGCGTGCGGTCCGGATAAGCAAGGCAAGCACTGCTTGCCCAAAGATTTCAAGAGAAAGAAGAAAATTACACCTTTTACATGTTTTACATTTTAGCAAATATAATTTATAAGGTGTTCAGTAAGTAAATTGCATTAAAAACAGAAAGAGAAAGAGACAGAAATAAGTATAGAGCCACGAAAGTAGGAAAGCGGCAGAGAGGATGGAGGTGGCGCAGCGCGCTGCGCGGCCTGGACACGGGCCAACCCATGCGCTGGAGAATCGCTTGCGATCAGCTGAGCGGAGCGCCACTGCTCAGCGGCGGAATCAAGACAGGCGGGGAGTGCGGTACGTTCCGAGTCCGAGCCCTTCGCTGCGCGATCGCAGCTCGCTTCTCTTGGCCATCTCTTGGCCCGTCACCGCAGCGCGCTGCTTCTGCCACCGATGCCCTATCTTGTTCCCTCTTTCCGTCGCGGTTGTAATTGCTCCTCCGGAGCAAATGCCCTAAAGTTCTATAAAATGTCGCTCACTTGGATCTATTGGTGATGAATTAGACAATTCACAATCATGTTTTAAACGCAGAAAGCTGTTTTTTTGGGGGGGGGGGGGGGGGATTTTAAGTAACTCAAAAAATTCTAAATGCCATAGAATAAAGACTATGATACCTCAAGTAAGTGGCATGGCAAAATTAGGATTTAAGAGCATGGAGCCGTCCTCCAATGCTCAATAACATTCGAAATAAGTTGAGTAAACGAAATCATAAGTAAGAGAGAAAGAAATGAAACCACAGTTTTTCAAGACGTTCCATCAGATTTCATCCGCAAAACAGAGCAAATAAAGTAAAATTTTAAGAATTTTCTAGGGAGGCTCCCTGAGGAGGGGAAAGAGGCTACGTTAACCCCCCCCTCCCCCCCGGATGGCGAACGCTAGAGCTTGCCCTGTCACTAAACCCACCGCACGCCACTGGTCAGTGCTTTTCTGAGAGTGCTGTTCTGTATTGATCAGCTATTAAATCATGGTGCTAATTTTTCACTTACGCTAAAGAGTGCTCAAGATTTTTTTACCATGCACCCATAGTGTTTTCAAGTGTTTCTCTGTACTTACACCAGTTCTAATTGGAAATTTGGATTAATTGTTGTCAATTGGATTTTCCTGACCCAGTGGATTACTGATTCGAGCAAGTTGGTGAGTGGTTTTTGTTCATTTTCTATTTTATTGAGCATGTTCGCATGTCGTGCGTTGAGCATATGTCATCCGTTGTTACCTTGCATGATGCAAATGTAGCTGGAAGATTCTCCTACACATGCGTAGTGGAAGATGATGAACATTCTGAGAATATTCTGAGTTTAGCTGCTGATACAGAATATTCTCAGAATATTCTCTGATTATTAAAAGCTGCTGAAAATGTAGGAACATTGTCGGAATATTCTCAGAACATTGGGTGCTATCTGGCTGGTGTGGCAGTTTCACCGTCGGTATGCTATAATTAAATCATAGTCTGAGGCATAATGTAAAGGTGATGTTAATATGTAGTTGCACAACTAAGTGTCCCAGAGTTGTGTAGTCACATGTGTAGCGGGTAAAGGTAGGTACATAAACGTATGCACCTATGCTTGCGGATACCCACCATTGATCTGCAACTACACATTCATAGCGACCACTAGCCGGTGACCACCTTGCAACTACCTTGCGAATACACTGAGCATACTGATGACTACCCTTGACAACCATGTGACTACACTGCGACTTCTCACATATGCACAAGACTATGCTATATATTCGCAGCATAGTCGTCTTTTTTACCAGGGATGCTCTTTCCACATCTGGGTCTGAGTGTATGAAGCTAGGCAGGGCAGCTAAATTGTGCGATTTGGCATACAATCTGAGATTATTATATATATATTGATTTACTGCCAAATCTGTTCATAGAAAAAATGTAGGATTTCTTTTCAGAAAACTGTGTAGCAGAACTTTTTAGTGAATTAACTGAATATAAAAAGCCAAGATGCACAATTTCCGCAGCATTGTCAACCTCATCGCTCTTTAACCAGAGAAATCACAAATTGCTTCATGAATGCAGAAAAAACAAGTACCTACCTCAAGGAGTTTGTCTTACTTAAATAAATCAAATGGCATATTGGGTACAATTACTATTAACATTTTTCTTGTTACTCATTGTTTGTTGTTCACTTTACTTGTTTAAAATTCCTCCCAAAAAATTCGAGGAAAAAGTTGCAAAAATATTGAGACTTTGTTCCAACTTTCCTGCCATCTTCTTCCAACAAAGTTGCAACAAAAGTTACGTCAGAAAGTTGCAACTTTTCTATGATGTTGTTGCAACAAGTTGCAACCGTGGCTACTTGGGTAGCTCGCTTTGCGAGCTGACACGTCTAGCCGGGGAGTGCCCCTGGACCCCAGTTCTACGCTTCGCGACGAACTTGCGACTCGCTCCGCGAGTCGCCACTGCCCCGCACAGTTTTTCACATTGATGAGGAGACAGTTGTCTTAATCTTCTTTTTCACCAAGTTTTACAGAAATTGATGTTCTAGGAGCCCGGACCGCGTTCTCGTGCAGGACCGCTATCTTGGATTTGGAAATGTTGAAAATCTGACCAAAAATTCGAGTTTCTCGTCGAAAAATACCCCTGGATACCGAATTTCATAAAAATCGATCGATATCAGGAAGCGATATAGCATTTTAGGCCACGGCCGCCATCTTGGATTTTGAAATTTTGAAAATCTGACCAAAAATTCGAGTTTCTCGTCAAAAAATACCCGTGGATACCGAGTTTCACGAAAATCGATGGAACAGGAGCCGACTTAGCATTTTAGGCCACGGCCGCCATCTTGGATTTTGAGATTTTGAAAATCCGACCAAAAATTCGAGATCCCCCGAGAAAAATGCCCCCGCTTACCAATTTCCACAAACATTCGTCGAAAAATACCTCCTAAAACCTTAAATTTCGTCTATAAGGCAGTGACGTCACGCAACAGGATTGAACCTGTTCAGCGAGATGCGCGTAAACAACCGCGTATCTCCAATGTAATACTATATGGAGAAATAACTTTTCGCTCTTGCGGGCATCCGAGGCAGCGAATTTGAATGGGAATAATTTTAATCAACTCCTCATTACAATAGCTAAACGTGTACCAATTTTAAAGGAAATCGCTTTGGCCAATTTTTATCTAGGGGGGGGGGGCCATAGTGAGTGGGAACAGCAGCTTAATATAGAGTAATAATAAAATAATATGACATAAACCAAAAAAGGGTGTACCAATTAAGTAGTGACAAACTTTCAGGGGTTGTAATATGGCTCAAAACAAACAGAAGAGTTAATAACGAAAATCCGCTAAGATGCGTGGTTCTCGAGTTACGGGGAGTTCAATTTTTGAAAACAGCACGTGTTCGGTTATGACGCCACAGTGGCTATCCTAATTGTTTGAACCCAAAAACAATTGTGGTTTCGTCAAGTACTCACCGAGAGCTTATTATTGAAAGATTCTTTCGTTTTTTTCGTAAAACCTCTACTAGTGGAGTTATTGACCGCTAAACAAATACCGTTCTACCGTACGCCCTGGCCTGCTTTATTCGCGACGTACGGAAATGCGATATTTTTTTTTTTTTTTTTTTTTTTCAGCGGTCAATAACTCCATTAGGAGTGTTTTACGAAAAAACGAAAGATACCATTTATTAAGCTCTTGATGAGAACTTTACGAAACCACAATTGTTTTTGGGGATCCAACAATTAAGATAGGTGGCCCCCGTGACGTCATAACCGAACACGTACGGTTTTTTTCTTTCAAAATTTAAACTCCCTGTAACTCGAGAACCACGCATCTTAGCGGATCTTCGTAAATGACTCTTCTGTTTGTTTTGAGCCATAGAACAGCCCCTGAAAGTTTGTCGCCACTTAGTTGGTACACCCTGTGTATTACATATACTATATTACATAACCAAGTGGGGGAGGGGCGAGAATACTGCGGAAAAACGTTAACCAAGTGGCATAGTCAAGCAATTTAAACGGAAAAGTTGTCATCCTCGAAATACTTCGGTGTTTTGATTTACGACTTGGGTATTCATTTCTTTCACAATGAGTGCCTGTATTGTTGCTTAAATTATTAATTTTCGAAAAAATGTGTTTCTCTCTTTTAATTTAAGGTTGCTGAGACTATTGGAGGATAAAATACTAGAAACATTATCAACTTCGGCAGGAAATATTTTAGAGGATGAAGCAAGTGTGAATATTTTAAATTCATCAAAAGTTTCAGCCAATGAAGCACAAGAAAAACAAAAAATCATCGAAATAACTCTTAAGTCTGTGGAAACATCATGCTCAGAATACTTAAAAATTGCCGACAATGCAAGAATATTATTCCTTTGCTCTAGTAAGTACAAGTATATTTACAGGTGATGATTGTTTAGTCGGGGATCTGTTATGTAGGTATCCACGTTCGTTTCATGACCTTATACCTATAACTAGCCGCTGTGGCTCGCTTCGCTCGCCTCGCGTCTAGCCGGGGGCTCCGCCCCCTGGACCCCCGGTCACTCGCTTCGCGAGTGACTTACGGCTCGCAAGCGAGCCGTATTCCGTGCCGTAAATGCAAAAAGATGATAAAGTAATGTAATCCAATAAGAACTCTTTTGAATACATGAATACGAGAGGCATTCCTTCCTAAATTAGTTTACCTGTTTTCAGTTCCGTAATGATCTTCCTTGTAAATTTTCAAAAGAAAAACGAAATTACGCGAAATTGCCAAGAAGCATTATGGATAGTTTTCCTGTAAGGGATTTTTCGTGGGGGGGGGGGGGCATCAACTGTGAGTTAAATAAGGCGAAGTCCCTCCGGAATATGACAATGTAAGCCCTGCGCACTTCGTACTGGCCAGGAGGAGTAGCTCACTGGCGTCCTCCAGGACTCCAGCCAACACCACGCCAAAGCCACAGACTTAAACAATCATACGTCGGGTGGCGCCAGTAGTAGAGAA